TTTGTGCAATTTATCTATTAGTAACGTTACTGACCAGTGTGAATTACGAACGAATTGCAGGTGTCGGTGCAGTTGGTGGGTTCTCATTGGTGTGGAGGCTCCATTATCAGCGCAGATTACATCCTCACTGCCGCCCACTGCTTTGGCTAGTGAGTATAGATGATATTGCTTGTGAATTCTTTGGTGAGGAGGACGATGCTAACTCTTAGGCCTCCATTCGCAGCCTTCCCCTGCCGTACTCCGTGCGCGTGGGCTCCAGCGTTCGCAACCAAGGCGGCACCGTGCACCGCATCGCAGAGTACATCGTGCACGAGCAGTACGGCACCAACGGACACGACTTCGACATCGCGCTCCTGCGTCTGGAGACGCCCATCACCTTCTCGGCGGCGGCGCAGCCGGTGACGCTGGAGGCGCAGGGCGACGTGGTGGCCGCCGGCACGCCCGCCGTCGTCACCGGCTGGGGAGCCCTCGAGGTGCGCCCCCTTTGCAATCGTTTTGCTCAAATTCTAAGCCGTGTCTGAAGTAGCATGAGTCGGAGGTGGACGTGAGTCCCTTTGGAGTGTTAAAAGTGCTCCGGTCGTTGTGCAGGAGATGGGCGCGGCCGCCGACATCCTGCAGGAGGTGGAGGTGCCCATCATCTCCAACAGCGCCTGCAGCGAGGCGTACGTGGGCATCACGGAGCGCATGATCTGCGCGGGCTTCCAGGCGGGCGGCTACGACGCGTGTCAGGTGAGTGTGGGCGGGGTTCCGGGCGGGGGCCTGGGCCTGGATCTGGGTCTGGGTCTGGGGATGGTGTGGCGGCGTATTCTGACGCGGCGTGTTGCGTTGCGTGCCCGCAGGGAGACTCCGGCGGGCCGCTGGTGGCCAACGGCAGGCAGGTGGGCATCGTGTCGTTCGGGCGCGGCTGCGCGCGCGCCAACGCTCCCGGCGTGTACGCGCGAGTGGCCGCCCTGCGCGCGTGGATCCGGGAGAGCTCCGGCCTGTGAAGCGCCTCTGCGCGCCCTCGCCGCATCCGTCCGCCCTCCGTCCAACTTTTTTTTCCAAAAGGGTTTATTCGTTCCTAATGGTTACTCTCATCCAAGAGACTACTATTTTACTTAAAGTCTGTTGTTTTAATTTTTTACATAATAAAGGCATTTACAAAATGAATCTTGTGTTATTGTTTAATTGATATCGTTAAATAGATCTCCATCATACCCTATTATTGTTAGTATTTGTCCAACCATTTATTGAAAATATGCCCTTGTTGGCAGCTGCGTATGTATTTCCAAGTTTCGAAGTACAGTTGATGAGTCGTTATGACATTAGTGTCTACGTTGGAAATAGAGTGTACTCATTAGGAGGTGTTTCAGTCGGATAAGTGTCTGGCGGATTAAAATCGTGCCCGGTCGCTGGGTCTTGCTTGGTACAGCACTGTAATAATTTGCACACCAATATTGTCAATTCACAAACTTATCAGTACTCCCAAGTAGTGGTACTTTTTTAAATTTATTAAATTTTGGTTGATGTTTACATAGTTTAGTATTATTTACTTCTTCGTATGTATTTTGTTGACTTAAAACTATTCTTAATATAACTTAATATTTAATTATGCTAACTACAAACTGATGTAGGGGACGTATAGAGCTACAAT